AGTGATAAAGATATGAAATTGAATAATAAATCCTCATTAATCACCGATATTTCTTAGTTACCTCTAATCCAAAAATACACAGACATCCAAATCACTGATATCCAACTTATCTCATTTGATCCCTGGTTATCACGTCTAAATATGAATATCATATAATTCGTAGGGATATTGGAAGAACAAAAGGAATGTGGAGGATATCGGTTTTGGAGTGGAGGATATCGGAGATTAGAACATCTCTAGACAGAGGATTACACTAGACACAGGTAAACGCTATACACAGGGGATTAGGTAATCTCCTGATAAATCCCCTTGAAGGATATCTAGGGGATTGATGCATATCAAGTGTATAAATGTTCAAGATGGATGTAGAAGTAAATTTAGATATCTAGCCTTATATCCCTCGATATCACTCCAAATTCACTAATCACACCAAATCCACTTGATCCGCCATTTTCAAATAACGAACTCTAACTCTAACATTTAGAATTTTGAAATAAATTTTCCTATAATAAAACATGGAGGAGGGTTGAAAAATAGTACTCCCCCCTAAATTACTACTCCCCCCTTAAATAATACTCCCCTTTGGAGAAGGGTTGAAAAATAGTACTCCCGGGAGTACTATTTTAGGAAATACGGTAATTTATTTTTTTTACATTTTATAAACATCAGAACAGCTCAAACAACTGAGGCTGAGGAAATTTCAGCGAACCTTCAAATGCTGTGAAGATCTGACATTCTGTCACTGTGGAGAAAAAAAGGAGAAGACCCTGTAAGAAATTAAAAATGCCTGAATTTGATAGGCTAGCCGGTGGTGCAAGACTAATATAATATAAAAATGCGTAAGGCGTTTCTGTGTGTGCTCTCCAAAAATCGAAACAGATGATAGTTAAAGAAGACAAGCAACGAGCGAGGACGCTTGATTTCGCAAGGCGGAATGTCATGTCCGATGTTCATGCTGTGGAAAAATTGTTTGGATGGGAGATCGAATTGAATTATCACGGCAAGGGCCCGCACCGAAAGCACAAACGACTGTGCCACCATCCAACCCGATGATGGGTTATTTATTTTCATTTATGTTCTTTCTGCAAGTGCGGATACAACAGGGTCTGTACGCTTCAATATTTCCATTAACTTAAATGTTAAAATTAAAAAATATTAGAATTTTTAAAAAATCAAAATGTAAGAAAATCCAAAAATTTAATTCTTACGTTGAAATTTTTGAAATGTAGATTTACGAACGCTTGATGTTTCATAAAATTCCCCATCGAAAAATTGTGAATTAATGTTTATTGCATAACTCCCAGTTATGAAAATTAATAAATATTTTGTATCCCGAACATTCCCAAAAATTATAGCGGCAAAAACACACTGTTATAAACAATAATAATAACTATAATATAACTATAATTGAAAAAATATACATTAAATTATACAGTTATACTCTAAAAATTTTTTAATATTTTTTAATTACTTTTTTTATCAGTTTAAATATTTATTTTTAATAAGACTTGTAAAAAAGAAAAAATTATAATAAGATAAGAACACATTCCAAAACATATTGAATCTTATAATTAAATTTAAATATCTATAATTAATTTATTTAAATCTTTAATTTTGAATCATTAATTATCAAAAAAAGAATTAAGATTTATAAAAAATAGTTTGTGTGTCTATAAATAGTTTAATCGAAACAATAAATTTAACACACGAAACAAAATAAAAACTTAAAAGATAGAAAATATCTATGTCTAAAAAATATTTTATAAATAAAAGATATTACAGGTTTTGATATTACAGGTTTTGATTTGCAATTTAAATGTTTAAATTTATAACTTCAAATTAAATTAATATTTAAATTAAATTAATTTATTGAAAATTTTCATTGAAATAATAAAGAAAAATTATTATCCTTTTTCTTAATAGAGAAATTATTTTATAATTATTATAAAATCATATTTTAAAGGTAATAATAAAGCTCCTCCACCACAACAAAAAATATTTTCGTATTTAATGTTTCAAGGAGCAGTGGGAAGATGCTAAATTACAAATATTAAATTTTCACTTTTAATAAATTTGTGTAATTATAGTTAATTTGTATTTTTCAGAATAAAAAGATTAATGTTGAGGTCAAAAAATTGATGATTTATTCGCCTGAAAAATTAGAAATAAAAAAATCACCACTGAATGTAAATCAAATCTTAGAAATACTTGAAAACTTTAATAGCTAAAATGACAACAATAAAATAGATATTTCTAAAAATAAAATGAACAAAAATTATGGCCGTCTATTCAATAGTAGGTCAAAAAACAGAAAATCATTACCTAATGATTTTTGTCTCGAAATATAAAAAATATTAAAGTAAAAGATTATTAAAAACTATTTACTTCTAATTTGAAATATATTGAGATTTCTTATGAATGAGTAAGGGAGAATTATTTCGCGGCTGGAAGATGAATTAGAAGATAAATTAGATGAAATTGAAGAAAATAGTGAAGAAGAATAAATTAAGTTAGAAGAATTTTGGAATTAAAATGATTTTTAAAAACATTCTTGTCAAATTAATTTTTAAATTAATATATTTTAAATAGAGGAATGCAAATTATATGAACTATCAAAAAAACTGAACTTAATTTTACATTAAAATTTTTATTTTTTTTGTAAAAACATTAAATTCCTAAATTTATATTTAGAGATACATGTTACGACATAGAAATCGGAACATTTTCACCGACATGTTGTAATTTACATACGACTTCTACTTGAAAGCCATTTTTAAATCATAAATTTAATTTTAAATTTCTACATTTTGTCTCAATTACTCCATTTAAAAGAAGTTAATTATTTTTAAATAAGCTGTTTTTTGTTTCGATTATATTACTTTGATTTGGTTTTTAAAACATAATGTTTGAATATTAGTTAGTAATATTAATAAATTTAATTTTTAAAGATTGAATTCAATTTAACTATTGTATTTTTTTCAAATTTTATATTTCTTAAAAGTATATTATAAACTTTTTCATAGTATATAACTGATCGTTTTTAACAAATAGTTGTTAACACTATTAGTTAATACTTTTTAAACGTTAAAACAGTTTGTCTTTTACTATTTTTGATTTTAAGTTAGTTGCTTATGAGTTACTTATGTATATCGTATTTTTATTTCTAATTTATCACTTATGAGTATGGAACCATTTTTGCATAGTGCTAAAGGATGGTGTTCCCTCTCCATATAAACGAACAAGTTCATTATATAAAAGTTCACAAATTCTATTCACAAACAAATATTCACAAATTCTTTTATTCAAAATATTAAATATTTTTGTATTTTTATTTATTTTTTATTAATATATTTTCTTTCATCTTTTTTAATTATTTGCGCCCCTTAATCATAAGTGAGCAATGACAATTTATGTCGCGAGTTTTGAATTGTCTCGTTTGAATCTTTGATCGGATTTGTAAAAGTTAATTTAATTTATCAAAAACAATTTAGTATAATAAAAAATTAATTAGTAAATCAATTTAAAAAAATAAAGCATAAAACATGTGGAACCACATATTATAAAAATTTTAACCTGAAGATTCTATTTAATAAAAGCCTAAAATCTAATAATTTTACATACTTATACATATTTATCAAAAATAAAATTAATAACTTTATGACAAGTACTAAAATGAGCAAAAATATGGAGAAAAGTTTGCTATGGTATTCATCTAAAAATCATTTAATATATCTAGTCAAGAATATCTGGTTAAATGGTTTGATTGACATCCTGGCATGACTCACAAATTCTATTAAACTACCATAAATTAATTCGGCATTTTTAGTGTGTAAGTGAAAGGACAAAAAAATAAACAAATGTTAGAGGAGGTATAAAATTTTTGGATTTTAAACAGTTTAAAATTGATTTAAAATCAATGACTAATTTTTAAAACAAAAAAAATATTGTAATACATTAAATTCTGATTTTATAAAATTAACAAGGTGTTTATTTTTTTAAATTCTTGTTTAAAGTTTATTTAGAAATTCTGATTTTCAAGATTATTTTTAGAAAAATTCTGATTTAAATGTTTATTTAAAAATTCTGATTTTTAACTTTATTTTAATAATTCTGATTTTATATTTATTTTCCCCAAATTCTGATTTCAAGTTTTAAAAAATATTTTCTTATTTAAATTTATTTTTCATAATTCAGATTTTATTTTATGCGTCAATTTTATTTTAAAAGGTTAATAAAAAGGAAGCAGACAATGGTTCAAAAAATAATTGATTGGAAGCGCTGCTGCGCGAACACTTTCCCCGACACTTTTCTATAATACAAAATAAAAGTATAATTAAAAAATGTTTTTTTTTAATTTTATTTGGTTCAATTATTAAAAATTTTTATAATATTTATATTATAGATAAACAATTCTTTGAGGCTCCTTTTTTAACAAGTGTAGAAGTGAAGTGAGATGTTATAAAATAAATATCGGCATTTTTTGAGATAGAGGGATTTTTAAATAAATTTAAAATATGGTTGGTCTTCATCAAAATACTTTTTCAACCCCAAGTCCCGTCCCAATGAAAATTTTTTGTCCAAATTATCTACAATCCATTCCCCAACGTCCCTATTCTCCAAAAAGTTCTCCCCGAGTTTTAGAATTTAAATTATATTTTCCTTTTTTGACCAAAAAATAATTTTTTAAATCAAAATAAAATTTAAAAATCCTCTCCCACAGAAAAAAATAAAATTAAAAGGCAATTCAATAAGCAATACATAAAAAACCAAAGTCTCTAACTTACTAAAACAACAAAAAGAGACTTCTGCGCAACAAATTTTTAAACTTCTTTTAATCTTTCAACTCCATCGTCCTTTCGTAATAGTCAAAGAGAATCTTTAAAAATAATAATTTTCAAAAAATTTCAAAAAATACTTTTGGCGCTTCATTCTTAACGTTTCCGTAAAAACTGATTTGATTGACCCATCTTTCATAACAACATCAGCCACAAAATCCATTATCACCTAATTCCGCTCGAGTGGACACTCGTTATCAGAGAAATATTTGCGACATTTAATTTGGAATGCTTCTTTGTTAAAACTTAAAAAGAAAAAAAAATTTTCAAAAAAAATTTCAAATTAAAAAACCTCCTCCATTTTCATTTTTTCTTTCGTATATGTTGGCGTGTGACGACACCAGCCTTGTTTCCATTCTGGCCTTCCAATGAAATAGAACGCAAGGGGGTTGTATTCTTGCTATTGAAAGAATTTGTGGCAGTAGTAGTTTTTCCATCATTACTAGAATTGCTTCCCTTAAAAGATAAAAAATGATTAACGGACTAAAAGATTTTCCGGACAAAATTTGCGGATCAAAAGATAAAATATTTTCCGGATTGAAAATCAAATAAATTCCACAAACCTTTCTCTTTGTGATGGATGTAGGTCTCACTCGTGCGCATGAAAACTCTTCCAACTTTTGCTTCTTTGCCTCCGTCTTCTTAACAAGTAAACCAACAGGGCTGGATCGCATATTCCCCTTCTTTTTTCCATTTTTCTTCCCGTTTTTGCCATTTGAAGAGACTTGTTGTTTAGAAGCAGAAGAGGTTAATGGTTTCGAATCCTCCAAATTCTCCAATTTGGCCTCCTCCTCTTTTTCTTCTTCATTTTCGTCATCTTCATTTTCTTCCATTCATTTTTTTCATCTTCAATTTCCTTCTCGGTTTTTTTCTTTTTCTTCCTCTTCCTCTTTTTCAAAAGAATTTATTTATTTTTTTCTTTTCTTCTTTTTTAAATTTTTTACTTTCTTTGTTTTTCTTTCCCTCCCTCTCAAGTGTTAAAATTATTTAACAAAAATTTTAATTTTAGATTAGGAATAATATCAATCATCTTTTGTTTAATTATTGGTTCTGTGCTTTTATTTTTCATTTGTCATATACGACAAATAAAAAATTATCTCAAGCAAAGGAATGCTTCAAAAATAGAAACCAAATTAACGACACCGATACAGCCTGTTGGAATTGTTGAGAAAAGAAGGGAAAATGAGGAGACGATAACGCCTTTTTTAAACCTTTAAATTTTTATAATCACAGTCGAACCTCACTTATGTACATATGTGTTTTAAAATTTTTGATTTTACTCGAATTCTATTGTATCAGTGGATGTGCATCCGCCTTTTTTGCACAAATTAAGTAATATATTAAATCGGTTAAAATGAAATAAAAATATACAGTAGAGTGAATTAGTGAGTAGCAAGTAGAAGTTGGGGGGAGTGGCCGGTCAAACAAAAAGGTGTAGGGGGTTTTCGGGAGATATCCTTTGATATCTGAGTTGTCTAATTGGTCAAGTAGCACCTATTGCACAATACCCGCTGTCATCGGTCGGGGTAAAGGGGCTAATTGGCCAATTAGCAGTACTAATTGGGTTTTCCACTTCATCTAACATATAAATTTACTTTGTGGGGTAGGGGGTTAAGTGTTAATAAACCCAATTAAATTTATTAATTAAAGGGTCACCCGAAGGGTGACCCTCTCCTCCTTCTTCATAACATTTCCTTCCTCTCTTTTGCTTTCTCTCTTTTCTTCTCTCCCTCCTTTCTTGTCTTTCCCTTTATATTTTTCTCTTTTTTTCTCTTTTTTTATTCCACCATTTTTCCACAGTGATTTTTTCTCTTTTTTCTCCTCTTTTTTTACTTATTTTTAATTCTAAATTTTATTTTAAAAACTTTAAAAAATTTTTGGTGAAAAAATAAAAAATGGACAAAATTATTGTGTAAGTTAATGGTGAAAATAATGGAAACAACAACAATAATTAAAAAATTTTTTTAAGTTTTGCAATAAAAAATTCAACAAAAAGTTCAACCATCAGCGTCATACGGAAAACAATTGTATATTTTTTAAATTAAAATTGAATAATTAAAAATTTTTTATATTAGGCTTACAATAAATAAATTCTTTTGAAGAAGAGGAAAAGGAAGAAAAAGAAAAAAACCGAGAAGGAAATTGAAGATAAAAAAAATGAATGGAAGAAAATGAAGATGACGAAAATGAAGAAGAAAAGGAGGAGGAGGCCAAATTGGAGAATTTGGAGGATTCGAAATCATTAACCTCTTCTGCTTCTAAACAACAAGTCTCTTCAAATGGCAAAAACGGGAAGAAAAATGGAAAAAAGAAGGGGAATATGCGATCCAGCCCTGTTGGTTTACTTGTTAAGAAGACGGATTTCAGATTTTTTACATATTGTACAATAAATTAACTAAATAAAACCTTAAATGCTAGATATCAGTTTATGAAAAACTATACAATCCTCGTTTAATTATCTTAAAATTAGCGATCAAAAATTATAATTTTATAAATTTAAATATTTAAATCAATTAAATCATTTTACTTCATTAAAAATTATTGTATGTTATTTTTACTATATTGATAACAGATTTCTTATCTTATACTTTTGTATTTTAAGGATTTTATTATTAGAGATATAGTTGGATGCTTGAAATTAAAACATATGTTTAATTCATTATAATATTGGATTAATATATTGAAAAATATTTTTTAAATAATACTAAAATTGATTTTATAAAATTTCATTAAAATTAATTTTTTGATATTTCACTCCCAGCGGGAGTACTGAGGTCAGAGAAAGTGAGTCTTGAATTGAACCTGTGAATTTTCCGGGTCAAAATTTTACTTTCCTTTTCCGTTGATTTTTATGATTTTTTGTTCATTTTAAAGTTTATTCAACATATTTAATAAACAGATTACAATTATGTTTAATATTTTTAATAAAAAATAATATAAGTATTTTGCGGTTCCTAGTTACATTCTAATTAAAAAAATACAAGACATTATCCGAAAATTTATTTAATTAAAAAAGGCAAAAATACAGGTACAGGATAAGAAGAGGGAAAAAGGACTAAGAGTGTAGCAAAAATATTCTTTGAATGTGCTTTTTGATGAATCTTTAAGATTTTTTAGAAACATTATTCAAGTTAAGTCTTCACACAGATTCTAAATTATTTAGAGATTAATTTAGATTATAATCATATATTATTATCGAAATAAACTAATATAAATAAAATAACCAGAAATATGTATCTTTAATTTTTATCCTTAATCTTTATCTTAATTCTTTATAACTTTAATAGATCTTATTATTATGCTAATTATATTATTTTTAATAATTGATTTTTGTTTAAACTATTATTCAAGCTCATATTATGTTTTAAACTCATTTTGCATTAATTGTTATTGTTTCGATCAACAGATTATTCTCAGTAATATTGAAAAAAGCAAAATCTTAGTTTTAAACATAAAACCTAATAGGTACTTAGATATTGGGGTATGTAAACACAACTTTTTTATGCTTACTTACATTTTACTTTTTCATTTAAATTAAAAGATCTTGTAATTTATTCATGTAAATAAATCCATCTTTTTTACTTGTATTTGTAAATTCGTCAAAATTCATCTGATACCAAATGGTATTATTTTAATATTTAGTTACATTATTAAGGATATGTTTTTTATGCTTGTTATTTTAAAATAATTCGCCCATTTTTTTAAAAAATTTATAAAATATACTCGCACATGACCACACTTTACTTTCGCGGTGTTTTGTCTATTCCAATCGATTTACATTTTGCAAACGGTACAATCTAGACGAATTAGTAAAAATACACAATTTATTTGTATAGCCAATTAAGTTAAATAGAATTATTTTGCCATCATGTTCGGATATAATCTTTGATTCAGTTTTACTGTTTTCTAGATAAATTTTTATATTTTTATCTTAATATACATATTTAGCTACAATTTTACATAATAGATGTTGGTATAAATATAAAAATTTTATTCATATATAGAAAATAAGGCAATGGTTTTACGAATTAATATTTTGTTGTTGCCAGCATTCTTTTAGCAGTATTTTGTTGTGTCAGAAAAATTCGTTCAAAATGAAACATTTAATGCATTAAATAAAATCATCTTATCTTATTAAATTATTGTTGTTAAATAATTTATTACATCATATTTATATTAAATTTATGTTATCATGACTCAACAGATAATGATTCTAAAAAGTATATTTTGGTTTTAATGAAAATAAGGAGAGCTACCTTACAATTAACTGTAAATTTTTTAAACATGATAATGCAACATTAAATATTGTATATTTTTTACATGATAATGCAACATTAAACATTACCCACAGTTCTGGATACATAAAAGAAAATTTTCCTGAAATTTTTTCATTTTTTAAATTTTTTATTGTTAATGACAAGCCTCTGAGAGGACATGACGCGTTAATAAATTGTGAAATTAAAAATTTAAAAATATTTTTAAGTTAAGTACAGAGAGATAACATGTGAAATTTAATTTTTTTTCAATACCATTTATTAAGTTTTGAATTTAAAATTTTTTATATTTTTACGTAAATTGTCAGCTACAAGAAGAAGGCACAACAAATGCACAATTTATAACCAGATTGTTCTTCCAAACAAATTAATTTAAAGGTGGTGAACAATTGAATTGTAGCAAGTGAATGTATAAAAAATAATTGTTCAATGTAGTAAATTTTAAAAATTTAATTGAAGAGACTAAATTAATTCTAAAATTTATTGAAAACTGAATCTGGAATTAAATTTTACGTGTTAAACGTATATTAGCAGCACATATGTATTTGTTAATTTATTTTTACGTTAATTTTTTCTTAAATATTTTACCTTATATGATGTTTAATTTAAATTAAATAATAATAAACCATATAAAAATTTGTTGTATTCGTTCTATTTATTTTTTATTATAAATATTTACTTTTCATTTAAATTTAAATTAATAATTAATCTATTTAAATTTCTTCTTGATATTTTTCTGAGATTACTTGAACAGAGTGAGTTCTATAATTTTAATTACTTGAATTAATTGCTATTTTAGTTTAATTATCTTCATTTTATTGTTATTTATCAAAAATAGCCGTTGATGTTCAGTGGTAAATCAATTTAATTGTCGACAATTTATTTGAATATTTGATAAATTAAAATATTAATAAATTAATTTATTATTCAAAAAATATTTATAAAATATTATGTTAAATATGACAATATGGTAATTTCTTGAAATAATAGGTTCCATGGATCTAAAATGTTAATTTTTATATAAATTTAAAATTCGCTTTTATATTTTTAAATATATAAATTAGTTGATCACATTTTCTCTAATTTGAAACCTTGATAATTAATAAAAATTCATTTCTTTTATTTATATAACAAGAATTTTATATATCATTTATTTATAATCAACA